GAGTAGAGTGAAATGGCTCCGTCTCAATGGCTGCGGATTGTGATTGGCTATCAGGGGACCCTTTGGGCATCATTTGCTTGGGGATGTTTTTCTTGAGAGTGGTCCACATTGATCTTCGCGGCCTGTTCAACTGGGAACTGGTTCGGTCTCCAAATTGGGTTCAGGGAAAACCAAAACGCAAAAAATCTGAAGCGGTGAAGTTCATTCTAAAGAACACATGGGCGAATTGTACTCACCTTTAAAAAAGCTCACTTTTAAGGCCATCGCTTTTTCTCACACAGCTGGTCAAGCATGGTTTCCAAAGTTCAAACCCATGAAGAATACCTCGGTGCTCGCCTTGCCCGTACAACTTAGGTGGACGTCAAACTTAGGTGGGGATTTGTGTCCAGCCACTTTGAGGCGGTTCCAACTCTCAAGATTCCACGGCCAGGTCAGCAAAAAGCTGCAGTTGACACTTCAAGAAACGCCGCTCCAAGGGATGGCAACAGCTCCCATCCCGTCGAATCCGGTAGGGCCGGGGGCAAAACCCCAGAGAGTGCTCATTCGCATTGCAACATGTCAAAGTGGGCGGATAGAAAGAGTTTGGATGTTCAAACGTTTGGGCCAGCACTCATCAAAGGGCAGTGGCCCTTGTGAGATCCCTTTCAAAGTGCAACTAATTCGTTGCAAATCCCACCCGATAAGAGCAACCAGGAGGGGTACCTTCACAGCGGTCCAGATCAAACAAGCTCGTGCGTGGTCTGCGGGGGGCTTCTACCCCAAAACCACTAGCCCAAGCGAAAATGGCCTCCTGTCCTTCTAGCATGGAACCTGACTGAGGGATCCTGGCACGCACCATCTTTCTTTAAAAGGGACTCTGGTGGGTTCCATGCTAGTGACAGGGTAATTTCGCTTGAGGGAGGTGGTTCGCGGGCGGAAGTTATGGATTGTGTGTGTGTGTGTGCGCAGACAGGGCGATCTACGAAGACACGCAAAGTGCCCTGCAAGTGGCCCCGATCCAAAAGGAAGCCGAGCTTCATTTATCCCTTCGACCTTTTTCCCCATAGAAGGTCCTATGCTTGCGAAGGCGCACCAGTTGGAATCCCCTCCCAAACACCTCGCCACCTTAGGCGCCACCTTTGGCGCTTGGAATGGGGGGGGCACCTTCTTTGGGGGGCCATAGGGGAACCCAGGAAGCCGAGTTTCTTGCGCAGAGATACGAGTGCCAATATATATATATATATATATATACATATACACATATATATATATATATATACATATATATATATATACATATATATATATATACATATATATATATATATATATACATATATATATATACATGTAGATAGATATAGATAAAAGTATACATATATTATACATATATACATGAATACCCATGTGTATATATGATATATATATATACACACATGTACATACTTCTGACTTATAACCACGGTTATGGCCTTCTCAAGCAGCCACCCCCAAGAACCATTCCGGCAGCCCGTGCCTGGCTTCGAGTTGCCAAGCCCTGCAAGTGTTTGGCACGGGAGGAAACCCGGGGGATGTGGTCCGTTGGTGTGGGTGGCTACTTCCATTTGCGGTTTCGCCCCCCTGGAAAAAATGAGAACATACTGTGGATGGGCGAAATCCGTTCGCGCCACTTTGAAACAATGGGAAAGCCTGTGATATGTGTATTTTCGGGGGAATCGTCATTCCATGGTTTCTTAGGTGGTGCAGGATTTCGTCCATCAGTGAAATCGATTCCCGTCAAAACCAACAAGGGAAACACTGCAATATCACTTCTTTTCAGCAAATGGAGGTTTATGGAAACTCGCTGCCGACGTCGCAGCTCTTCCAAGTCTTAAACCAGAACCATGAGTTTCTTTGCATATGTTGGATTTCCAAAAAGCCACCAGAGCCCAGGGATTCCCGGTTGAATTTTGCCTTTTGGCTACTGTCTCAGAAAGTAAAAGCCTTCCATATTGGCCTTTTGCTTCCAATGGCTGAACCTCCCCAACTTGATTTTGGAACTGGGACACTGGCTGAGACCCTCTCCCGGGCAAGCGTCGCTGCGGCTGGGGTGGCTTCTGAACCCCTTCATCGCCTACGGCCCAACGGAGCACAAGTTAACCTCTGATTCCAAATGGCCAAGGAAAACTTCGGCCCCGAAAAAGTGCCTTGATCTTCCAGGACCCTGAAAAGCAGTTGCCTTTGGCTGATTTTCCTTTTCCAACCAAGAGCAAAATCAAGAAGGACCCTGTTTTTGCCGTCCCTTGGAAGACCAAGGGTACGGTTTGTTTTGTTTCAGGGTTCGGACATTCCCCGCTTCCCTCAAGTGTGGCGGCTCCGGCCAACCCTTCAACCGTTGGTCTTCTGATTTTTTTTCTCGAGAAGTGATCCTCTCTATACCAGGCAAGCTGTTTGTTTTGACGACTGGAACGTGTCGCAGGGGAAACCTCCAAATCGTGGAGCGGGTTTGAAGCAAAGCAAAAAGGACCCCGCTCGCCAGAAGGATCACTTGTTTAGAGCACGCCAACAGCTACTTTCGTGTTCAACGCTACCTACTGAGACTTCCTGATTGGATTGGTCCAAGCTAGTCCCAACTTGCTCCACGGTTTCCAAAAAAAACAGACCTCCCTATGTTCCCCGGCAAAAACATGTCACCCCACGGCCCAGGGAAATCTGCGGGACCCATTTGGGGAACACGTCTTTTCGTGATGCACATGGTTTTGGACCATGCGGAACACCAGCCTTTTCTGCAAGTCCCCGAAAAAAATCTCCAAACCCAATTCTTCAAGCCCATTTGGGGCTCCAAATATGTGGCCCCACCCAAGTGCTCCGCACATCAACCAGACCTGCAGCGGCGGTGGCGGCGGCGGCCTTAGTGTGCCGACACAAAGCGAAAGGCACTCGCCATGTTCAACACAATTTCCAGGCATGTGTTCAACTAAACGTTTGCGGGCTTGTATACCAATAGAAGTCAGAAGTCTAGGCAGCATATGGGTTTTAAAGATATGAGGGCTCGTATACCACCAATCAATGCTTGGACGTACATACCCTTCAGATATCAGTGGTATATGTTTTTCTTGGAGGGTACCGTTTAAATTGGAAAACACAAAGGAAACCACCCCTTTCTGGTGTCCCAGAAAGACACACACCCATAGCTTCCTAGGGCTCCCGGCGGCAGCTGGGTGGACCCAGAATTGCCCTGGCACAAGCTGCGGAGGCCGTGATGCTGGACGCCCATCCACAGTATGACCCCTCCACAAAGAAAACTGGGGGGGGGTTCCCAAAGGACAAACGGGGGGAGGGGAGAGGAAAATGGGGGGGGTGAGGTGGGGGGGTTGTAGCAATAAACTGGGGGAGGGGGGTGTCCAAAAAAGACCGGAGGGGGAGAGGGGGATGTAGCAATAAACGGCTTCAACAACAAGATCTGTTTTCGTAGGATGTCGAACATGTACCCATTGGGGTTACTGTTCTTCAGTTCCAAGGCGGGAAAGAAAAATTAAGTTCTTGAAAGACACCTTCGTTGCGTCTGTCGTGTTTTGAGGCTCGGTACCCTTTTTTGGTGGGTTTCAAAGGACACCACCTATTGGCGGAAAACTATTTTGAGACCAACCCAGTTGTTTGCCGCTGATCAAAAACGAACAGAGGCAAACAACTCAAAGGCGGAAAAACACGCCAGGAGCAGTGAAGGAAGGCTGGCGACCGACCCCTGCCATGAATTGATCAATCCCTCAACTCAATTGCCACATTCGGGGCGTAGCAATCTACACTGGGGTGGAGAATGGATCTCGACGAGAGCAATGAAAGAAACCAAAGGGAAACTCCAGGGTCATTTGGGTCAAACCAATCAGCAACCTGACCGAACAAAGACCGGGGGGACGGGGGAAAAGAAGGGATGCTGGCTCATGCAATTGCGAGCAAACGGAAGCGCGAGTGAACTTGTCACTTGGAAATGAGCTGGGCTGACGTGCCCTTCCACCAGAATCACGGGACGGGGATACCAGTTTTGGTGGCTGTAATATGTTTGAAACAAAAGTTAGACTCAGCACCCTGGAACTGATAAGACAAAAAACCAACACATAGCACGCTTGAGAAACGCGTGGGATACATTCGAAGCAAACCACCTTCCAGGTTTGGCTCTTCTTTACAGTGGCAAGCAACTCTCCGTGCCGTGATCAGTACTCGTTGTGTAACCAACAGTTCGCTACCCTTTCTCCCGCAAACGTACCACCTGCAGGAGGGTACCTGGATGTGTAACGCCTATGTTCTTTTCGACATCTTGTGAAGTGACGTCCACTTCCGGAGCCCCCAATGAATTGCCAGATCCACATCACCCAAAGCTGAAATGCCGCACATAGCCGGCCTTCTGCGAGAAAATGGATGGGTTTCCCGCGGGCAAATGGGACAGACAACCCCATCGAAACCAGTGAAACCCATCTACATTTCTAGGAGTACCTGCCCCATTCTTTCCAGGAATCCTTCTTTCTAGAAAACCTTCAGAAACCCAGGGAGACGGCTGGTTATGGGAAAGAACGATGGTTGAAGAGAATGGAAAAGGAATCAACCCCTAGAACATTTCAATCAAGCTGGCCGATCCAAAGGACGCCTATGCGCGGGGGTTCACAGACGGGGGGTTTCGAGATCTCGGCAGTGGGTCGGATGGCCGGGTCGCCGCATGCGAAACCAGCTTAGAGACGCTGGTTGCCAACCCGGATGTGGTTTGTTGCGCCCTTTTGATATGGCTTTGAAGGGACAGAAACGGAGGATTTATATGTTATTCCCTGGTTTCGTATACTGTGGATGGACAAAATCCTGCACCAGTTGGTGGTGTATGCCAAAACTTACAGGGGGTCCATCTATCCCAAGTGGTGAAGGAGTTCGGCCACCAGTAGTTAGTCTAGTTCCCCCAAAGCATAAATCAACTGTGGAGACCCCAGCTTTGAACGCACACACACACGCGTGGTTTGAAGCAGCCGACGATTTCGAGCTGGCTCTCTTTTTTGCTCTCACCGCCGCTTGTCCCGGCGGTTTCTGGCCGACTCCTGGCAAGACGTAGAGAGATGAAGCAACATGATTTTGCACAACTAAAGAGTATGGGATAAATCTGGAGGAGCCTACCAGTCCGAGGAACCCCTAAATTAGTTAATTTCCCTACTAAAAAGTAGAGCCACTCCTGATTACTGCGGTCTTCAAGTGAACAGTAACTTCCCTCCCATCCGGTAGCATGAAATCCGACTAGTCCGGTCCTTTCAAAGCAAACGCCATGGAATCATGACGGCGCTTTCGGTTGGTTGAGCTTGAAGGGGAACCACGCCCCACACAAAAGAACACGCTTCGTGAGCGGTTGGTCCCAACCGAACGTGAGCGAACGCTTACGTCGCGGCCACAAACTTCCGGACAGGACGTTGATCTCAAAGTCTAAGGGACACCATGGCTTCTCTGAGGCAGACTTCTTGCTGTCCTTTTGGGGGGAAGTCATTTTGTCTCATAGGACTCATAGGACTCGTGGGAAACCGACCTCCCAGACCCATCGAATCACATCGAGTCACTTGAGGCCAAAAACCCCTCGGACCCAACACATCAAAAGGCGGGAAAGCCCTCCGAGGGGGAGGGGGGGGCCTCAAAATGACACTCCTAGATTGTTCCAGGGTGGGGGTTTCTTTGGAGAACCCCCCCTTTTGGTGTTGGTTTTTTCAAGGGGAACCAAAAGGAACACCATGGTCGTGTGTGTGTGTGTGTCTGTGTTTTTTGGGGGTAAGGGGTCCCAAAGCAACTTTTGCTAGAAGAAAATCAAGGAAATCAGGGGCAAAAAGGAACTCCCTTTTAAAGCCGATAAGCCTAGGCTGGTGTATCAGGCGTGCAAATGCGGGCCGCGGGGGCCATGGCATTTAGAACAAATGTGACAAGTTAAAGAAACATGAGGCGAGTGAAGGGGCGCTCGCTGTTCGCGAATGGCTTTGTTGCTCTTTACAACCCTTCGCATGGTGGCCAGTTTTTACTGCGTTTTTTGCAGCCCCTGAACCAAAGAAACAATCCACCTAAACACTTGCCAACAACAGTGGAGTGCACTGTCTTGGGCCCACCCAGCTCATGGTGTTTTCCGATGCTAAGCCCTCTGCAAGTTCGCAAGACAAATGATGAGGCGGGGTGGATTCCGGTCTCTCGCAACGACATAGCGAGCCAGGGAGGAAGTCTACCCCCGCAAATTCAAATTCGGCGAGCAAGGGCAACTCAAAAAAGCCACAGCAAACACGCCGAACGTACAAGCTGCAATATGGGGACTTGCTGAATTTCCCATGCCAGTGTTCCCTTAATCTTGCCGGCCAAGGAAACCTGCGCATGTGTTTGAGGAATTGAGAAGGAAAAACCTTAAAAGAACGCCAACAATTCCAAGTCAACTGCGATTGCAGAGCAACGCATTGGGCACCAACCCATGTCGGAAAGGAGGCCCTGTCGATGGTTGCGAAATCCATTTCGCACCACCCTTCAGAAAGCCTGGAATGGTGCGATTCCCCGGTAAATACCAACAAGCCATGGCTTCAACCATGCTTTCATTTCGAGGTGCGAGCATCTAACGTATCCCTCAGGCCTCAAGCAAAGGGGTGTTTTGACCTTGCGGCACCCTCCGGTGATACTAGCCTCAAACTACGGCGGGAGCTAAGCTCCGGCAGTTCTAACATGGCTTCTGAAAGCGCTTGTGCCTACCTCGTTTGATAGAGGTCCTCTCAACCTCTTGTTTGACCATGGTGTTTTGAGTATCAACCCCGAACCTCGGTCCACTTTCACGGGTCCCGCCCTCAGCCCATGAACCCGCCTTCACGGATCTGTGCTCGTGACCTTCAGCTGGAAGTGCGACAACGAATTGGCGCGTGGGTGGATGTGTCAAAGATCTGGGGCTCTCTTCTTTTGAGGTACCCCGTTTATGGCTTCCAGAGAGAAACCATATGGTAAACCACAAATTTGCGAGGTGCAATCCAAAAAAAGACACACGCATATGTCGGACCCAATGGATGGACAACCCCTTTCGGTTTCCCTTTGAACTAAGGGGGAAAGGGTACCCCTCAAAAAAGGCACACCGAGTTGTAAGCTAGTGAAAATTGGAGAACAGGTGTTCAAATAGATCATTGTGGTTGAACATAGATGGCAGTCGCTTGAGGTCGGTTATACTAAATTCACTCGCTTCCTGAGTGAAGTGGGAGAAAAAGGTCCAAGCTGCTTAAACCAGGGATCCTTACATTATACACCTGAACATTGCCTTGTAAATGGTGGTGTCCCTTCATTTTGGTGGCAAAAGCAACCTGTTTCAAATGGTTGCAAAATGGAGATCTTTTAAGGAGCCCTGTTAAAACCAAGGGGCAACATGTCCAGTGTTCCCGCCGGAAGCGGGAATCCATCCCTCCGTTTCTGTGGCAGCTGGCAGGGGACCGTCCCGTCAAGAGGCATTGGTGTCCCTCGAGGTGGCTGTTTGCTTGGCTGGAATGAGGCCCCCAGCCAACAATACTTCCTTTTTTGTTGCCTGGTGGGTGGAAAACAACGGGAACCCAACAAAAAGCAAAAAAAGAAGAAGAGGGGAACACTCATTCCGGGAAAAAAAGAAAAAGAAAGGGGAACACTAATTCCGGGGAAGTTTACAGGTGCTACGTTTGAGGGAGGACGGGTGCCTCTACAAAAGTATCCCTAGCGTGTTTCCATTCGGGACCGATATTTGGGAGACGTGAGATGTGTGTCAAACTAACAACCAACCAACCAACCAACCAACCAACCAACCAACCAACCAACCAACCAACCAACCAACCAACCAACCAACCAACCAACCAACCAAACCAACCAGAAGGTCCAAAAAAATGCGGCATCCTCAAAAATACCCTCCAAATGGTTGAAAGGGTAATCCTCAAAGCTAATTTGAGAAGCCCTGAAGGTGTTCACGGCGCGATAAGTAGGGAATTCTGGAATGAACCTGGCGATTCCCTTAAAGGACCCCACCAGTTGGATGGTTTAAATCGGGGTCATTCACTCCATGTCTCGTTCCCTGTCTCTCTCGCAGGTAGAGCACAGCCCAAGCCCCGCCACCGGAAGACCCGAAACGTGGGGCAAGTTTGATGGGACTTGGCGGGGGCCGTCGTAAACCTTGCGGCGGAGGTAGCCCTCAGCCCCCGGCCTCTGGATCGCCGATCGTGGCTTCGCGAGCGCCGCCTGGCCCAAGGAGCGAGCCGAGCTCTTCAGCCCGCTGGCCGCTTTTGGAGTTCTGGGAGGAGGGCGGGGGGGGGAATTCTCAGGTAGCGACCTAAGCATCAAACGGGGCCTCCAGAAGGCCCCCTTTGAGGTGCAATATCTTCCAAAGGTCCTCCGGTCCTTTCTGATGCTTAGGGGCCTTAGGGGACAAGAAATAGGGGTTCAATTGCCCAAAGGATGGGGAAAGCTCTGGACCGAAAAAAAGCATATGGGCAAACGTTTCAACTTTGAAGTGCTCTTGGTGGAAGCACTGCTGTCTTCAGCCCAGTCCTTGCGGTCCGCTGCCACGAGCTCGATGCTTGCTGTGGCTGAGATCGAATGGGTGGCAAAAGCGGCTGCCCTTCCACTAGTGTGACTAACCTGCATCGCACCCAGGTATGCGATGGCTGCGCACGCCGCACGAAGGGAGACTGCAGCAGAATGTGGTCGAAGGTGAGGATGGATGCCACGCGAGGGCGCAAGCATGCCGAAGGCAGCTCGGCATTGAGAAAACAAACGGAAAAAAATGGGGAAACAACTCAAACACTAAATGAAACTTGCCAGGAACCGTGAAGCTGTGGGGGGTGGTTGGTTGTCTTCCATCTCTCAGGACAAGGTTGGGATACCTCCAAAACGGCAGATCAACATATATTTGAGGAAGGGCCCATGTGAATGCCCCATTCGCAAAACCGAGGGAGCATCGAAACCGAGTGGTCACGTTGTTCGTTGCTCGTGTGGGTCTGTGTCAGAACAGGCGGACCCCGAACATGGCGGCGTTCCTTCTGGTCTCCCTGTAAACCCACCTGGAAAAGGGTACCGAGCCCCAAAAAAAGGCACCCATGCATTTCCCCAATCAGGCACCCTCCTGTCCACCAACATCCCAGCAGAGGGTCCGATTTAAAGGACATTTGATCTTCCGGGAGCCCTCAGTCGAGTGGCAAAATGGACAGCCGGGAGTGACCCTCCGTGACTCGATCCGAGTCAACTAGCTCGTTGGGCACTCGGGTTGGAGATGAACTGCAGGTTCTTCAAAGGGAGCTTAGGGTACCCCTTGCCACGGGGCTCTGGTCGGCGAATTCGATGGAGCCTTGTGTTTCCTGAAGCCGGTCAAAGGACCACTGGAAGGGGCCAAAGGGCCGATTCACGAAAGGGTTTCCAGAAAACAAGCACAGATGGTAGGCAACAGCCCAAAGGGAACCTGGAACCGAACCCCTGGAACCTTCCCTGCAAGCTGCCCCAAAGCCCCAAAGCCCCCAAAAAGCACTCAGCCTCGTCAAATACTCCGATTCACACGGCTTTCCAAGAAAAAAACACCTTCCAAAAGGACCACCCCTGGTTCCAGGTGAAGATCTGGCGTCTGCCTTCTGGCAGGGCGCCGGGTCCGGGATCTGGATCTGGATCTGGATCTGGATGCCTGAGACGCGTTTCACGGGGTCCCGCGCCGGTCGGCCGCCGTTCTGGTTTCCTGTTCTTTTTTGAGGCTCGGTACACGTGTGGCAGATGTCAAGGGGCCTAGGTGGGTCGGATCTCTGTTTTTCTTGAGGCTCGGCACACATGTTGTAGGAATCCACCAGCATGTTTTTGGGGGGGTTCCCCAAACATACCCAGGTCTTTCTCGTCAAAACGAAACAATGTGCCGGGGCATGGGCTTCGTTCCCCCCGAGCAAATCCTTTTTTTGCAAGCGATTGCCTGTCTTGGACCTGAAGGGTCGCAGCCAGTTTTTCCAACTCTGCAGAAACCGTCGTGGCGCCCAAAAACACCATTGGTGGAATCGCCTCTTGGGAAAAATGGGCCCTTCAGTGAGAAAAGAGAAAAAAAAGCGCATAGGGGCTGTCTGGTGAAAAGTGCTTGGAGACCCTTGAGCCGTTCAAACTCGCTGGATGCCCGCACCTCGAGCTCAGACCCCCACACTCGCGTTTTGGTTGGCGCTGGGGTTGCGCCAAGGGAAACCACAGGATTCGGTGGCTTGAAGCGGATTTGTTTCCTGGGATCCGAGCAAAACAAAGCCAAAGTGCTGCCGGATGTATCAGTGTTTCGGAATGTTCACGCAAGGAACCTTCAGGGGGTCTTCGCTCGTGAACGGAAACCCTTTGTGGGACAAAAAAAGGCACGATGTTCAGTTGCCTAAAACCATGAGGCGGCAAAGGCCGTCCGCACTTTTGGAACCTCAACAGAAGGTCCAGCACCTCTCGTGCCGGATGACTCCGGCGGGCGACTGCAACTGAATGTATAAAAGTCCTACGCGGGGAGTGGGCCCCATCTATCGAAGGGACCCTTGGGTACTTCAAGGCGGCACTTCCGCAGGGTCCAAAAGACTCCCCTTTGGATTGGTGGCGGTTCGGGGAAAATTTCGCAGTGTCCCATGTGTGCTCCAGAACCATAATGTTGATCCTCAAGAACCAGAAAAACCACACCCCAGTTCCTACTGTGGATGGACGAAATCCTGCACCACCTGAGCAACCATGAGACACTGCCGTTTGTTGGCATTTACAGAAGAATCAACAATTCAGGGTATCTTAGGTGGTGCGAAATGGATTTCGTCCATCCACAGTACCAATCTAAATTGCCGACTTCGATCCGGGCGGGGGCTGCCGCCAAACGAAAAACCGCTCCGCGCCTTCTGCACGCGGCGATGGCCTCAGCCGTGGCGACCACATCTGGGGCACCCTGAAAAAAAGCTTCTCTGGTTCAGTTGCATATAGGCAGGAGTTGTACTTAGGTACTTGCTTTTTTTGGGGGGTTATGTCCCAACCACTGTGGAGGTGGTTCCAATTTAAAATTCATAGCCATATTGAGGTTACCCTAGAATACAGAAGATCTTCTGAGGAGAAACTAACCACCTCAGCCAACCAAAATCACATGCTTGGCCCATATCAAGCGCCTTGAAAAGAGATCTCAGAGAAGGAGCTGGTTTGCAACATTGGTGTCCTTTTTGGGAAATAGATGGTCCTAGTCGATTGTGGAACAACCCAAGTCAACCATGAATCGCCATCTATTTTTCTGCCAAAACAAGCAAAGAAGAATTCCTATGGTCCACAATTTATGAGAAGCAGCAGCCAAACCCAGCGGGAGGATCGAGACCCTGAGGCACTCTACACTGAGCCGAAAACTGATTGGGGGTCCCGGATCCTTTGGACATCATGGGATTCAGGTAACCACCAACCACTTGTGGCTTAATCTGGTGGTGTGATTGTTCAGGGCCTGGATGTTTTGGACAACATGTGGGGATTCTTGTGCTTGGTTCCAAAAAAGCTTCACAAACCATATGAATGTGTGACAAAATAAGCGCCTGACTGGCTCCGGCTTTCCTGTTGGATTTTCTTTCCTATGGTCCCCCCACATCTCAGTTGGCAGCAGTCAGAAGCAGTGGCATTTCCAGTTTATGTGAAGGGTTTGGCTTCGAACAAGGGCACCCCAAGGCAGGCTTCCCTTTAAGAACACGTGCAACAGGGTACCCTCCATTCAAAGAATTCTGGAAAAAGGAAGCTTCACGTGACACGAGGGAACTTCCCCTCAGGGGGGTGGCTTCCAGTTCCATGAATTTCAACCTGGCACAAGGTGGGTGTTCCCCCAACAAAGTGAGGAATTTTCCTTCGAATTGGTACACCCCCCCCTGTTTGTTTTCACCAGGAAAAGGCTTGATCCAGGGCAACACCTGAATCACATGTTACATGTACACAGAAAAGATCCGTGTCTTCTGATTCCGTGGTCATACTACCCGAGAATCTAGAAGAGTGTTGGCCCAAACGGTTGATTCTCCACCCTCCCTCCCTTTCCGGGTCCGTTCAAAAGGAAATTGATTTTTCCAAGTGCCTCCCCACAGGTGCCATGTTCATGGGAGGAAGAGTACCAACCATCCCCCAGCCAGCTTGGGCCTGGGCTGGACCGATTCCGGCCCCGCCTGCAGAGATCAAAAAGGCGGCTCAGGCTGTTCCATCTGAAACCTCTGCATGATGAGTAGCAAAGCCCTGAAACTCCTTCAACGTGAAAATCCCCAAGGTGTGTCTCAAAATCTGGGTGCGTCCGTAAAACAGGGGATGTCCGATGTGCACCCAGCCAACTCTTGTGTGGTCTTTGAACCTTGCAACATTCGCCACGGTGCTCGTTGCTAGTCAGTTTGGGGAACTGTCCAAGAAGTTGGACGGAGGCTCAAGCAGAGCGGGTTTAAGAACTGATCCGGATCAATTCAAAATGCATTTCATTGGGCAGAAGGGATATAAAGGAAGCGGAGCAGCCGCCTGTATCACTTGCTAAGCGGATTCTGTCTGGAGGATCTCCCATGGATCTGTTAAGACACAACAACAAAAACCTGGCTTTGGCCGTCTGCAAAAAAGGATCGGAACCCTGAAACGGGCGAGGCACAACTGCATAGAAATATGACATAGAAATATAGTGAGATCAAGATGCTGGCCCACAAGAGTGACACTGAAATCATCCTCGAAACAAGAGAGCGTGAAATCCGACCGAAACTCTGAGAACCCCTTGAATGAGCCAAGGACAAGCGTCCACCTTGCTGGGCCAACTCCCAAGTAAACCACCCGTCAAACCAACCAATCTGCAGAGCTCTCCTGAGCTCTGCCGTCCTTCAGCCAGCGCCAAAGAGCCATTGTGATCTGGAGCCAGGAAGCTCCACGGAGACCAGTGGCTTAACAAATAAATCAATGGAGGATTTGCGTGTGACTTGCGGGGGTATTAAAGGGTTCGGCAACCTACAGTAAGACTCTACAGAGGTGAAGTACCGTTTTAATCTATTGCCTGACAAAGGTTCCTCCAGACGAGCAGCTGAAAATATCACCAAAGCAAACCGACGGGGGACCACACAAAAGTGACGCCCATCAACCACCAAAGCCGAAAGACCCCTAAACCCGCCACCCGGGTTACATGTTGCTCATATATACCCTGACCTGCTACGCCGTTGCCTCGAATCCAGGCTCACCTGATCTTGGTATGAAGCGTGAACCAAAAAGCTCGCAATGTCCCTTCCATCCTACAGGCTTGGGTCAACCACTTGTTTAGCGGCCTGGGTTGATCCACCCTCTTTGGGGGCCTTTGTGGACCAAAGCCATGCAACATCCAGATGGCCCACATCTGGGGTGCACAGAAAACAATATGTCCTGAGTCTGCTTCACATTTCGTCTGCCGTAGAAGGGTGTGGGTGAGACATAGGCAACCAAAATGGAATCCTGGCAAATGGAAACAAGGACAGAAACCTGGTGGTTCAAATTTGACCCATAGCCATATGCGTGTAAAAACATAAAATAGGGGAACTTCCTATAGGTAACCCACCAAAACCGGTCGGATGTCAGCCGATCAATTTTGACCCATAGCCCTATAACATTGCGAATTCTACTATACTTCCAGAAGCTGCGTGAAGAATTGGACCCAGGGAGAGGGAGAGAGGGAAAGAGGCGCTCGTTATACCCCCGGATCCGGGAGCTCGCTACACCATAGACAGATTTACATAGCCGACCTATTGAAAACAAAATCGATGGGTGTTTTTATCTGGCAAATGGATGGCATAAAACCGCTCTGAACCGGTGGCTTGCCCATCTATTTCTAACCAACACAGCCCCAAGCACCAGTGAAACCCATCTGTTGCCACCTAAAACGACCCTAATTTTCGGGTCATTTTGGTCAGACATCGATGCGCAAGCCAGGGACTTCAAAGATCCAAGGGCCACCGACAGCTTCGAACCGGGCACCCCCGCGACGAGGCGGACCTCGCAGATCTGGACCGTTCCTTCGTCACCCGCCTCACAAAGAAAAGAAACGCGCCCGCGCGCGCGCGCCGGAAGAGCCGAGCGAAGTTGAATGACTCGGATCCTCACAGGATGTTCACAACACCTGGGAGTTGTGTTTTTCGTGACAATTGGCTCCGGTGCTCTCTTTTTTAATGGAATTCACACCAGCCCGTGTTTAGTTTGGAAACTCCTCATTTTGGGAACTCCTCATTTTGGTGCTTCTTTGGGTGGTCCCAAGACATACCGAAGGGGAAACCAACCAGTTTCGGGGGCCCCGAAAAATTTCAGCCACCCCCGACCCGCTCAAGACCGGATCTCTGCCGCGTGGCTCTTGGCGGCGAGTCGGAGTCACATCGTTAGCAAAAAGCTCCATCGCTAGACTGGATCTCACAGGTCCGTTGCAGGTTCCCTCGTGCCCCCACTCATCCTACTATGGATGGACAAAGTCCTGCTCAGCTCGTGGTGGTCAGCTCATGAGGGATCAGCTTGTGTAGATTCATGGGGTTTGCCACTTCTCTTAGAGCTTTTGGAGGTTGCGGGTGCAACTGAGAAGCGACGGCGCTCAAGAGGTTTCCAAGCGCAGGCCACGCCATATGTTCTTTTGTTTGCAATTGCGAGGAATGAAATCAGGGATCTCACCCCAACTTCCCGCCCTTCAGAAGGAGTCCATCCCAAATGCTTATCGCCGCGCGATAAAACGCCGGAGCAGGCAAACATGGCTTGCAACCTCCGCGCCATTTGCAGTTGGGTACTTTCAGAAGAACCCAGAACCCATGTCACTCCCTTGACTACATGGGGCATGGTGGCTGCGCATGGGAATGCAAATGACAAAACAACTGGGCCATGCTGGGCCTGGGCCAACGGTTTCGCTCTGTTCTTTTTGGACAGCGGTCAACGTGATCATGTAGATTTCTTCCTGGTTCATCGGAGGCCTACAGCTCCAGTGCCCTAAACATGCCATACGGCAACAGGAGCTTCCTGACCCCTCTCAGCTTGAAAGGGACCTTTGGTAGCTCCATTTTGGGGAGTTGGAGGGGAAGAAAGCGCTTTGAAGAACTTGCTCCAGTAAGTTGGGAGGTAAAACCAAAACAGAACACCTCAACTTCGCGCTCGACCAAGAAACAACATGCTTGATGCTGACCCATACTTGGCATAGCGAAGCTTACAAGTCTAAATACACTCAAAATCGACTGCAAAGCAAGCCTGAAGTGCCGCGCCCAAAACCCATCCACTTTTGGTTAAAGGTCCAGAAAGGCCTTAATATAAACTCTATAAATACCCAGGCAGGATCCCAACCACTTGCTAAAAATGGTCCCTTTGGACACAAGTGTGCGTGTGAGTGAATTCCAAAGAACCTTTTTGCCGTGGCTCCGTGCCTCCGCTTGATCTGAGACTCCTGGCGGAGGAATTGGCGAGCCAAACCAACCGGGGCGTTGGTGAGTCTAGGGGGCGATTTCCCCTGCTCAGGAGGATTCTTCTCACAAAGCCGTTTTCCCCAGATAGGTGGAATTTAGAGTCAGTTTCCCTTGAACACGCCGTGAGAAGGGGCGATCTCCCTCGAAGCCTCCCAAAACGGCACAAAGCCAACCAGCGCCTATTTAAAGAACCAGTTTGGATACCAAAGGGGGGCATTCCTGTGACACTGTGGATGGACGAAATCCACTTCGCACCACCTAAGAAACCCTGGTGTCTGATGATTTTCCAGTAAATACCAACAAACGGTACGGGTTTCAACCATGGTTTCTTAGGTGGTGCGAACGGATTTCGTCCATCAGCATTGTCACGTTGAAGTTTTTAAAGGCAAGGCGACTCTGTCATGGAGAATGGGCCAACTCCTGAAAGCAACAACAACAAAGGCCGACCTATGAATCCCCCCCGCAAAAAAGAAAGAAGAGAAAGAAATAGGGGGTCTTTTGAGTGGGGAGTCCAATTTTGTCCAGGAACACCAACAGCCCTGATGAACAAAACCGGAAAGGCGGGGTTCTTGTGGGTTCTTCGGCCAAGCTAGTAAGTTGTTGGAAACCGTTTGGTTGTAACCCGCTTATACGTCCCCCCAAAAGGGGGTGGCTAACCGAACATCCAAGTACCTCTGTGGAGGTTTATTCAGGGGTCAGCACTATCCGCCGTTTCTGCATCTCTCCCCATGCAGAGTCACATCCTCTGCTTTGGTGCTTTTGGTGCACCTTCTCACGCTTCAGGGGAATGGGTGTGTCTTTTGTTGGGGAACCCCCCAAAAAAATACATATTTATTTATTGTTTTAAAAAAAAGCTCAGGTGATATCCCCAACAGCATGCAGTGCTCTTTTCAGTGCTCGCACCTCACAGTCCTCGCAAAACCCTCGTGGAACCTTGGTGGAACCTTGGTGGAACCCTGGTGGAACCCTGGTGGAACTCTGGTGGAACCCTGGTAAAACCCTGGTGGAACCCTGGTGGAACCCTGGTGGAACCTCGTGGAACCTTACCTCAGGGCCACCCCGGACCACCCCGGAGCCTATCTGGGCTGAGACCCCAAAGCTTTCAGCTGTTGGGGAAAAAACTGATACTACTAATAATAATAACAATAATAAGAAGATGAAGAATACTAATAAGAAGAAAACCCACTCATCTCTTTGGCGGTCCCATACTAAAGACACTCTACACTTCTGAGTTCTCACAGGATCCCAACCGCAAGAAGGAATCGAAACTTAGCATGGCCACCTGCCCATTGAAAAAAGTCACAGTCGACATGGTTCAAATTCCGGAAGATTCAAGCCACCGCTCAGATTCTGGGCTCGGAGCAAATCGCCATATTCCGAAGTGAGGGTGGAAAGTTGCTCTCGAAAGACTGAAGAACCCACTGGTGATCATCTGGAGCAAGCCTGCCACTCAGAGATGGATAGTGCAGAGGCCAGGACGAGAGCGTAAACAAAAGTCATGATAGCAAGATGTTGGTAATTATTACATAAGTACCGATATGGGGAAACTCCACTGGCAAAATACTGACCTACCTTGAGTACCAACATTCATTCAGCAAACCTTTCCGTATAAAGATGACATTCACAGGGCTCCTTGAGTTCCCTCCGAAACCAGCCGCAGTTGGTCCCAAAGTGATGTTTAAACTGGCCCAAGGAAACATAGCACACCCCTGCTTCTTCAAAAGAGATCCCGCAAAAACCTTGATGTGGGCTCATTGCACCTGCGAACTCCGCGCCTTGATCACGGCCTTGGCGCGCAAAGCAGCAGCCTGCGGGGGCCAGGGAGCACGGATGCAGCTTGCTCATGTGGGGGACAAACTGAAATGGCCATGGGTCAAAATCCAAATCGTACCCCCAGTGAAAATCCCAATCCCCACTAAAATAGGTTCTAAAATGGGTGCTTCACCACCCCAACATAGTACCATTGGTTTTGACCCACAGCCAAATGGAGCTTCTTTGACTCGCCTTTTGCCCAAAGCATGCACCCTAGGTGGATTGGATTGGTCCGGTATTCGCAGTGTGACCTGGCAATTTTCGGAAAAAATACAGAAAGAACAGGACTAAAACCAGCAGGAGCCCTCTCAAGGGGCATGTCAACATGGGTCCAGACAAGCCTCCGCTCAGAACACACAGCTTTCTTCAAAACAATTGCGGGGCTCGTCTTGTTTTGAGGTTTTGAGGCTCGGAACTCCCTTTTTTGGCAGGCCTTCAACGAAGACCAAAAGGAAAGACAAAAACTTTTTGGGGGGGTCCGAGCTCGACATAAAGACACAGCTGGGGAAACACGTGTGCACTTCGGCCCCTTATAGAACCCGAGGCGCTTGCCGTTGAGGGACCTTCTGGGTCGGGGTCCCAGTCAAAAAGCCTCCCTCGCTTTTTTGGGTGTGTCTTAAACAACAAACAAAACAAAACATAAAATAAGAATAAGAAGAATAATAATAATGATAATAATAATGATAATCATAATACTGATAATAACGCTAGTCCTCTAGTTGGTTCCCAGAAGTTCAATTTTTGGGAACCCTGTCATCCACCCACTTCGCCCCTTTTTGCGCGCGCCTCACGCCGCTCCTCCTCCGGGTCCTAGAAGATTTGGGGGGTGGAAGTGGGGGGCACATGGCGCCTAGCTCTAAAGCAAAAAAAGCGCCCGTAGCGGTTTTTTTTTTTGTTGTTGTGTTTTTCTCACCGGTTTTGGAGTTGGTGTTTTTTTTCCCGGTTTTGGAGTTGGTGCTTTTTTTCTCCGGTTTTGGAGTTGGTGCTTGTTCTTTTATTTTTCTTTTTGGTGCCCTTTCAGGTTGTTTTACAAGGACGCCAACAAGAGCACCACAATTTGGGCAAAGCGTTTTTTGTTTTTTTGTTTTTCCGGTTTTGGAGTTGGTGCCCTTTCAGGTTGTTTTACAAGAACGCCAACAGGAAAACCACAATTTGGGCAAACGTACGATCCTTTCTCCAAGCGGGCATGGCAAGACTAGATTAGTTCTCCTGCTTTTTGTTGGGAAAATGGGGCATGGCAACACTAGATTAGTTATCCTGCTTTTTGTTGGGAAAATGAGTGGTTCCCAAATAGCAAGAAGAAGCTCAAACCCTGCCAAGGTGAAGAACGTGATGGCCCAAAAGGATAAAACGCAAATAAGTCTTCTCAACACACAAATCATTGGATCTCAATGTGCTCCCGCGTCCCCCTTCCCCCATCCCATGCTTAACCCAAATGAGAGCCGAATAAAGCCTCAGTGAGTGCTTGATATTTTGGGGCACAACTGCAGGATGTGATCATGGTCCCTTCTGCAAAGAGGTGCTACTTCTACTTCCCTGAGCCATTGCCAGCTGGCTGGCACAGTCGTCGCAAACTTTGTACCCAACCTTCAGCGCAACCTCCCAAGCTCTGATCCGTCGCAAGGTGCTTTCGGGGGCCCTGGAGCGCATCCTTCGGAAAGGCTTCCCAAGCCAAGCCAGTCTGGAAGCAGAGCAGCGCGACTACTCCGGCAACCCTCGGCGTCATTCTCTTCGACCGAGACACGAGCGGCTTCCAGCTGCTTTCCAACAGCGCGCTGGGTGGTTTCTACGAGGCTGTGCTCAACGTCATCGGATCCTGTGAAAGCCAAGGGAGGACGGTGGTTGGTTGCTTCAACTCAATTCCTATGGGAACTCCTTCGCCGTTGAAGCTGGGCGACGCGGCCAGGGAAACCTTTTGCGGCGTGCGGGGTGCCTGGATCCCGACGAGGGATTTTCGAGGCCGGGAGTTCCTCGAGCTGCGCCTTGGGCTTGCCGGAGATGGATGGCTGCCGACCCTTACTAGCTCGATGGCGCGCAACGTGCAGCTTGCGTTCGGATGGATGACTCCCTTTGATGAACTTCTTCAATATTGAGCACGGTCTTTTCGCTCCAGCTCGGCTTCATGTTTGGGCTCGTGGTGCGCATTTCCGCACGTAGCCTTGCACTTGCGGCGAGTTTTGCTCGCTCTTGCCCAGGCAAGAGCACGTAGGTAGGGTGGCCAATTTAAAAATGAGTTCCTGGTGGAGTGGCGTTAGGGCCATTATAGCAGGCCCTGCTTCGTCGCTCCCATTTTTCCTCCCGGGCCTGCACAGGCGTCAGCTGAACCTGGAAAGGAAGAACGCCAACGGCGAACTGCTCGTTATTGCTGTGGCAGATTTGGCTTTACCCTCCCACCAGCTAACATGGTTTGGTGCACAGACCCCTGTAGAAAGACGACTTTCCTCTTGGTTAGTTGGCCTTTTTGCACTTCCATGTTAGTTGGTTGGAGGGTATCAGAACGGTACCCCAAAATGGTTGTGGGAATGATGATAGATTGACCGTGCGTAAGCGTAAAGAGTTCATTGCTACATCCGGTTAGGTTTCCTTTGGGTTCCCTTCGATTACCAGCCTTACAAGGGCTCCAAATCGAATTTTGAGAAACTCCCAGACTGAGGCAGGGGGGTCACGGCACTCCTGGGTAGTGTCAAACAAACCAGCCGCTTGACCGATTGAAGCGCGCTGCCCCTGATCTGTAAGTCCCTTTACGGAGAAGACACCAACATCGTTGACCTCCAGTGTCACTCATTCAGGGTTTTTGCAGGCGTGGCCTTTTCTTCCAGCTTTCATCTCCGCTATTCATTGGATTATATCATCAGAGGTTCCAATGTCAGCAGAAGAGCAACCTGCACAAGGTTGCTAAATGGCATCAATAGACCGATCCCACATGGACAGCTTCCTAGTTGTTGCCAGTTGTTTGACAACATTCTTGGCGCTGGTCAAAACTAGGGCCTAGGGATGGTGCTGGGGATGAGATAAGGAAACCACCATCATATGATATCATCCATTTCCTGAACACCTATGGCCCCCTACCCCCACGCACCCCTGCCAAGCCACCCCTCCCTCACCCCATTTTGTCAAGCCATTCTGCGCGCCAAATGGGGTCCGAGACTCGTTCCCAGTCACATTTCCCCGCAAACGAAGGCCTTGTTGTCGCCCCAACGAAGGCAAGACACGTTTCATTTTTAAGAGAAACCCACACGTTTCACTTTGGTCCCCGCACGCAGCGTGTCCTGCAACAATGCCGCATAGAAGACATCCGGTTTGGCCGAATCCGGGCTTAACACATTCCGTCGAGGCAGCTGTTCGCTTTGATTCCATTGCATATATATATATATATATATATGAGCCCCACTCAGCATTGGCTTTAGCTCGGAGCTCCGCACGGGCGAGGAAGGCATACTAAACCAAGAGCCTTTCGGGGTGCCTTCGGCCTCACCGAGAAGGCCCTGCCTCATCTCGGGCTTTGAGGTTTCTTTGTCCTCCTCACTTTGCATCTTCTGAAACTAAGAGAGGACATGAACCACGAGTGCTCATCTGACAAGCAGTAGGGAAAGAACACCTACTCGTTGACCCCAAAACCCCAAAACCCCAAAACCCCAAAACCCCAAAGCCCCAAAGCCCCAAAGCCCCAAAGCCCCAAAGCTCCCGAGACCCCAAAACTGCCAACACTTCAACTTAAGACGCAGCACAAATGTTTTCCCTTCGCCGATTCCCCAGACTCCGAATTCCCCGCCTTCCGCGCCGGCGGCGGCGCAGGGGGCACGGACGCTGGGGTTTCCTGGGTGCTAAAATGGTCTCCCAACTGAGGAAGCGACCAAAAAACGTTTGGAGAACTACACAACCGCTGCATACGAAGTCAAAGGCTTATATCCCCCGTGCAGGGGCATCATAGAACCCTCTCCTCGCAGTGAATGGCAAGCAGCCGGGGCCCGGGGGGGGGACCCTGGAAAAGCTTGATGCTTCGAACCGCGCCTGCTTAAAAGAGGATCCGATAATTTCGGAGAAATCGCACGGTTTTCCTGGCATCAAATCGAAAGTACCTCAACCGCCAAATCTCTGACACAACCGCCCCATTCGGCAACTCCTCATTTTGCCACCTGGAGTCACCGTCCCTACCAACCCCCACAGGCTTTGAGAGCTCAAAGGCTAGGTGAACTACCGGGACGCCTACAGATGGTGTCCTTTTTTTTGGGTTTTCAAACCGACTGAAGGGCTGGGCTCAACACGACCCAAAGGTGCCCCATGTCGCGCTCCCTTCGGGTCCCCATAGGGCCTCCCACGCAAAGATGCCCAGAGCGAAGCCCGGCAGAGACATCCCTCCCAACCCGCAAGGGCCCACTTGACGCCATAGATCCCTCCAAAACCCCGCAGAAACGCCTACGTCGATGGGCTTTCCCTTTCGGTTGCTTGCCATCCATGGCTCTCGTTCTCTCGTTGGCTCATCCCTGAAAAACCAGCCAACTCAACGGGGATTTACTCGGGGCGTGCCTTTTTGACGTTATCCTTTCTTGACTTGGAGGAACATCTGTATTTGAAAGGCACTCTTGCACCAAACAGTGAGCAAGGCACCTGACTTCATGTGCGAGCTGATGAGGTTGTTGCTCGCCGGTAGGTTTTGAGACAAACCCGCTTTCCACCTCAAACTCCCGTTGCCTGCCGCCCACCCCCCCCGCCTGAGCAGCCCCTGCCTTCCGCTCGCCCGGCTTTGGCGATGAGACCTGAGGGACGGGTTCCTGTCCGTGGCAACGGGGATGGGGGAGAGAGTCTTCTTCATAAACATGATATGTACAATATATATATATATATTATACGGTAGATTTGCATATATATATATATATAGTCTGCCTCAAAATCAATGATGCCAAACAAGCATATATAGCACTGGAAAGCACACACAACCTGGGTCCATGGGGGTACCATATAGGCATCTAGAACATAGATACACCAATCGTCTGGGCATGGGGCTAATCCGACACCGGGACCTTATTTGTGTGGTGTGTTGTCCTTTGGTTTCCTCTTCCCATCCAAAAAGGGGACTCCTACTTTGAGAAACAACCATGTACACCAATCTTCTAGACAAGGACAAACTCCTGCACCGGTTGAAGTTCATCGCCAGCTGGAGACCTGGTTTCGCCCTCCGCACACATGAAAATCTGCGAGGACCTTCAAGATTCGAGGAGACGCCTCTCGGGCTCTTCGAAGGTTTCGAGGGAAGCAAAACAACAAGGAGCACTTCTGGCAGGAACGGCGGGAATTGGGAGCCATCCAATTTTGTTGAGTTGGCACCCATGTGTTTGCGGCTTTTAAGGGAAACCAAAAAAGGACCACCACCAGGTCTTATTGTGGGGGCACCCGCCCTAAAAGAGACACACCCATATGCAATTCCCATGGCGAAAATCCGTGAGTTGCTGGGATCCGCTGAGAAATTGAGCGAGTCCCCCATGTCCCCCAAACAAACCATGAACTACTGGATATGTTGACACGCAGCAGAAGCGCTCAGCTTGGCTCGTTCCAACTCAATATGGACAAGCGCTTTCCAACTTAATACGGACAAACGAAACTACCGGTAGCTGGTGGTGGTGAGGAAAAACAGCACCCCCACTCAAAAAGTTGGTTGCCACTTTGTCGGACGTAGTTATATCCAAGCTTTGCCAGTCTCTGAAGCGGGGGAACCAAAGCCGCAACCTTCCCAGGTCGGTCCCATAAATGTTTGAAGTTTGTAGTCAGCCAAATTGCTATCCCTTCGGAACGCCTGAGAATCTGAGAATGGTGACCCTGTCCAATTTGAGGGGAAAGAACAAGGAATGCTGTCACTTGCATCCCCCATATTTTCTCAAACTCGCAATCGACAGCCACCTGCAATGGGGAGAGATCTCATAACTCCTCCGAACTCGCTCGCGCGCGAATTAAACATGTTCCCAAGCCATCAATCTCTGCCATCTAGCCATCCCCAGCCTTTTGACGTTTCCCACACGTAAACTCAACCAAAACCACTCAAACCCTGCCAGTTCATTTTCCAGCCCCCGGGCTCAAAACTAGGATCCCGGAAGACCCCCCCCAAACAAAATCTGTTCTCCACTGTCTACTCCCAATCCAAGTGGGTGACTTTCAAGTGGCGTTCTCCTGCTCGGAAACCGTTTTCCCACATCAGCCAGAGCAACTTCTCAGAGTTCCAACTTCTTTGGCTCCCCAACGGGGAGGTTCTAAGGTACCCCAAGAAGCCAAGGTGCCAAAGGCCCCTTGGAGCAAGGCGGTGCGCTCCAAATCCAAAGGATCTCAACTTCTCGCGCAAAAAAGGAGTGCATCTTATAGACCCAAGACCCACAACCCTTGGATTGCGCTCCAAAGGATGTCAAGTCCTTTGACTCTACGAATTGGCCGCGCACAAAGGAGTGCAAAAGCAAAAAAGCCGACCACCCAGCAGCCTGGCAGATGATTTCGGTTTCATCTGGACCCTGGTCAGGAGAACCCCCCCTTAAAACAGGCATACTTTCCGGACTACCAAAAAGAGCGCCAGAGCCCCTGGATTGGTACGGCCTACGTAATTCTAGGGGTACCTTCCATTTCCATTCTGTCCAGGGATCCTACACTCGGGGGAAACAGATCCGGTTTTTTGAAAAGCGCGATGGTTGAAAAGAATGGGGAATCAAGCCCCAGAGTAATCCGAAGTTTTCGACTGCAAGGTTCAAGGGGTTCAAGGCGAGACTTGGGCCCGAGCAGCGCCACTCGACGCGGAGCTCGACCTCCACCCGGGCATGGTGGTTGGAAACAAGCGTTCGGGTGCGCCATGCGCAGCTTGAATTGGGGGTCCCTTTGACGTCATTGGCAACCAATTCACTTTCAGAGGGTTACCCATCCAAAAATGCATAGCCGTTTCGAAAATACTCCCCAAACAAAAATCTGGAACCCAGGATCAGCGTCAAGAGTCATTTTCAGAGCCTGTACACTCGTTTCGCGGTGCCACTGAACAGTAACGCCCGTTCGCCCTCGCTGAGCCCTGCATCCCTCGTCATGCGCTTGTACGCGTTCCAGAGCACCGTGTAGCTCATGGATACCTTGTCCACGGGGAAGTTGCCCTCGAACATGCATCGACCGGCGCCAAATGTCTGGATGGTCCAAAGGTACATCTCCTTGAAGAGTTCCGCCACCTGCTCCGAGCTCGGGGGTTTCTGGCCCTCGTCCAGCTGATGACCCAGCTGCGGCAGCGCTGCGCCCCCCACCTTCACCAGCACGTTGGGGCAACTTGCGGCGATCTGGCTCATGCAGCTCCTCCAGTGCGCGAGGACCTCCGCCTGCTTGCCGTCGTACTCCGGGGCGCCTGCCACGTTGCCCAGGGCTGCCAGAGGCGTGCCCAGGTGGTTCAGGACGATGGTCACGCCGGGAAACGCCTGCGCGAGGTCAATCAGGTCCGGCAGCTGAGAGGCGAAGAGCCAGGCGTCGAAGATGAGGTCATGCTTCTCCAGCAGCTTGAAGCCCTCACGAAACTTGGCCTCCTTGTACATCCCCGGCGTCGGGTGGAAATTGCCCTTACCCATATGGACGTCATGCGCGGCGTTGCACCGGATGCCGCGGTAGTTGGGGCTCGCCGCCTTGCACGCCACCAGCAGCGGCTCGACTTCCGCGCCGTAGGTGGCCAGGTCGGCGGCGCCGATGATGCCGGCGGCCGCGCGGAGCGGGCCGTACTTGCCGGAGGCAAACTGCGCCGCCACGCCCTGCACAAACTGCACCTCACCCAGCGGCGCCATCCACGGCGGGTTTGCGTCCGCCTGGAAGAAAGCGTGCGTGGTGACGAAGACGCTGTGAGTGACCTTGTGGCCACCACCGATGAAGTCGTCCACGAGCTCGTCCGTCATGTAGTACTGCTGCTTGAAGATGCCAAACAGGTTGAATCCCTTGAGCTCCCGCATGTCCCAAATGTGGTGATGTGGATCCACGATCTCCATCTCCGGCTCAAGTGCCTCTTCGTGCACTTGCTCGAGCCACGCCAAGAAGGAGCTGCAATTCGTCTTCCAGGTCTCGCGGAAACTCGCGAGCTTTGCCATGCTCTCTGGCAGAGGCCTCTCGGGCGAGAGCGCGTCCATCATCTTGGCCTTCTCTGCGACCGTGAGTGCAGCAAACGTCGCTCGAAGATCATCCACAGATGCCGCCGCGACTGATGCCTTGACACCAGCCGTTGAGGATGCCGAGCTTCCCATTGCAAGCGGCTAACCTATATATGGATGTCAGGACTGCTTAACTTTATCTTCTTTGGGGCACGTACATTTGCGGCCTTGCCTGCAAGTGATTTGGTTTCTCTGTGCTGGCACACAATCCAACAAGTTGCCCAATTCGGAGCCGTCCCCATCTAACCTTCAGGTTTGACTGTTGACAACCTTTCTGAAGAAAGAAAGCAAAGAGACACCCTCTGCAAGTAAAACCTCAGAAAGCTCCAAACGAGCCCCCGGATTGCCCGGTTCGTGGTTTCAAGTGAGTCACAATCAAATCCTGACACTCAAATGGGCGGGTTTTCTTCTAGGGGACCACGCAAAAATGGTTGGCCAACAAGGGTACCAACAAAAAACACACACAAGGATCAGGACTGGGGGAATATCCGCGCCTCTCGACTGAGACTGTCCCAAGGGAGGGTTTGAGCCAAGGCAGCACAGCCAAACCTCCAACCCACAAACCACCTCAAGAATCTAAATTTGTGTTTAGAGCTTGGAAGATCCTTGGGCTCCATGTCATTTGGAACGACATGTTACCACTGGATGTTCATTGGCGCAACCCGTGGGCACCGGTTCCGGCGGTTCGTTTCGACCAAACCCGTTGGGCCCCCTATCTGGTTGCAAAGGGTACATTTCAATGCTCAAGATGGAGATAAGAGAAACATGTGGCTGTGGGTCAAAGAATAGGGACACCCCAACATGAGGTGCCCTGGTAAATGGAACCAAGGACGATTTTACCTGTGGTCACTTGGCGGGGGGGGTGTTGCGGCATTGGACTTGGGCTTGCCAATACTTGATTTAGTACTGCCAATTCTACATGGGTAAATTCGGTACTTGCCTTAGCTTTGTCAAGTCTAAGTCTCGATTTCCAGTACTTAATCGCGTCTTGCGTCTTACATGAACCACCCTTTACAAGTAAAGGCTCAGGCTTTGATCTGGGAACGTCACCCCCACAACAAAGCCATTCAAGAGGACCCCAAAACAGTCAGATTCAAGACCATCAGGGGCTCCTGCGGCCAAATGCCCTTGCTTTTATAAGGGACTTACACACCAGTCGAGGGCGTCTTTCTCGCCAAAATCTCCAACCAGGGACTTATCCCAGATCCAAGGCCTCAAGGCCCAGCATGGGAAGGCTGAGGCTTTGATCTGGTAGGTGTTGTCCCCCCCCCGCCCCCCGCTTTTTTCATATTTGTTTCTCTGGAAGGAAGGAAGTTTTCGGTAGAGCAGCTTTCAGAACGGGAGAAACCATGAGCCTGTTCTAGGAAAGCAACTTCTATGCTGGGAGCCCCATTCTAGAAAGCGGGTTTGAGGTGCGCGTCCTTTGGTTTCCCCTTCACGGCAGCGGTTTTCGCTGCCTCCTAGAACAATTTTACCCCAGGTCCACCCAAAAAAGCCATCACGCACGGCTGCACAAAACAAGGCGCGCGCCTGCCCCGCTTCTCGGGCACTTGTGTCTCAACCTCCTGAGCGCTCAAATGGGCGACCATTGTCCAACCCCCTCACCCCACCCCCGCCAGCCCCCACTAAGCCCGGGGTGGCACCCCCAACAGCCCCGGAACCCCAAACGGCAGAGACCCCATAGCTTTCAGCTGCCCTCCGTCCACATGGAACCTGAGAGGTGGATGACTATTGTGCTTCACAAGGGACCCTATGGTGGGCTCCATGTTGGTGGACAGGAGGGTATCCTCTAAATCTGGTTGGTGTCACTCCCGAAACTCTTCGGGTGCTTTTTCCAGGAGTAGTTTCCTCTGAGAATGAGGGCCTTTTGAAGTTGCATGCTAGAGTCCTTATGACAGCCCGCAGGTCCAAAAACTCCTCGCGAAATAGTGATTCCAACAGAAACCACCCTTCACACAAAAAACTTTTAAGAAGCCATCGAGAATGTGGAGAACGCAACCAAAATGTAGAGAACCCAGCCAAGATGTGGAGAACTCATCCAGAATGTGGAGAACCCATCCAAAATGTGGAAAAATTCCAGCCAAAATGTGGAGAACCCATCCAACATGTGGAGAACCCATCCAAAATGTGGAGAACCCATTCAAAATGCGGAGAACCCATTCAAAATGCGGAGAACCCATCCAAAATGTGGAGAACCCATCCAAAATGCGGAGAACCCATCCAACATGCGGAGAACCAATCCTATCCAAAATGTGGAGAACCCAGCCAAAATGTGAAGAACCCAGCCAAAATGATCAAACATGTGGGAAACCCATCCAGAATGTGGAGAACCCATCCATCATGTGGAGAACCCATCCAACATGTGGCGAACCCATCCAAAATGTGGAGAACCCATTCAAAATGCGGAGAACCCATTCAAAATCCGGAGAACCAATCCAAAAAGGGAGAACCCATTCAAAATGCGGAGAACCCATTCAAAATGGGGAGAACCCATTCAAAATGCGCAGAACCAATCCAAAATGTGGAGAACCCATTCAAAATGCGGACAACCCATTCAAAATGCGGAGAACCAATCCAAAATGTGGAGAACCCATTCAAAATGTGGAGAACCCATTCAAAATGCGGAGAACCCATTCAAAATGCGGAGAACCAATCCAACATGCGGAGAACCCATTCAAAATGGGCAGAACCCATCTAACATGTGGAGAACCCATCCAAAAATGGGGAGAACGCATCCAAAATGTGGAGAACCCATCCAAAAATGGAGAGAACCCATCCATCATGTGGAGAACCCATCCAACATGTGGAGAACCCATCCAACATGTGGAGAACCCATTCAAAATGCGGAGAACCCATTCAAAATGCGGAGAACCAATCCAAAAATGTGGAGAACCAATTCAAAATGCGGAGAACCCATTCAAAATGGGGAGAACCCATCTAACATGTGGAGAACCCATCCAAAAATGGGGAGAACCCATCCATCATGCGCAGAACCCATTCAAAAATGTGGAGAACCCATTCAAAATGCGGAGAACCAATCCAAAATGTGGAGAACCCATTCAAAATGCGGAGAACCCATTCAAAATGGGGAGAACCCATCTAACATGTGGAGAACCCATCCAACAATGGGGAGAACCCATCCATCATGTGGAGAACCCATCAAAAAATGGAGAGAACCCATCCATCATGTGGAGAACCCATCCATCATGTGGAGAACCCATCCAAAAATGGGGAGAACCCATCTAAAATGTGGAGAACCCATTCAAAATGCGGAGAACCCATCCAACATGCGGAGAACCAATCCTATCCAAAATGTGGAGAACCCATTCAAAATGCGGAGAACCCATTCAAAATGCGGACAACCCATTCAAAATGGGGAGAACCCATCCATCATGTGGAGAACCCATTCAAAAATGGGGAGAACCCATTCAAAATGCGGAGAACCAATCCAAAATGTGGAGAACCCATTCAAAATGCGGAGAACCCATCCAAAAATGGGGAGAACCCATCCATCATGTGGAGAACCCATTCAAAAATGGGGAGAACCCATTCAAAATGCGGAGAACCCATTCAAAATGTGGAGAACCCATTCAAAATACGGAGAACCCATTCAAAATGGGGAGAACCCATCCATGAAGTGGAGAACCCATTCAAAAATGGGGAGAACCCATTCAAAATGCGGAGAACCGAAATTTGGAGAATGTGGAGAATCCATCCAAAAATGGGGAGAACCCATTCAAAATGGGGAGAACCCATCCATCATGTGGAGAACCCATCCATCATGTGGAGAACCCATCCAAAAATGGGGAGAACCCATCCAAAATGTGGAGAACCCATTCAAAATGCGGAGAACCCATTCAAAATGCGGAGAACCAATCCAAAATGTGGAGAACCCATTCAAAATGCGGAGAACCCATTCAAAATGTGGAACCCATCCGAAATTTAGAGAATCCCATCCAACATGTGGAGAACCCATCCAAAAATGGGGAGAACCCATCCAAAAATGGGGAGAACCCATCCAAAATGTGGAAAACCCATCCAAAAATGGGGAGAACCCATCCAAAAATGGGAGAATCCCATCCAACATGTGGAGAACCCATCCAAAAATGGGGAGAACCCATCCAAAAATGGGGAGAACCCATCCAAAAATGGGGAGAACCCATCCAAAATGTGGAAAACCCATCCAAAATGTGGAACCCATCCGAAATTTGGAAAATCCCATCCAACATGTGGAGAACCCATCCAAAAATGGGGAGAACCCATCCAAAAATGGAGAGAACCCATCCAAAATGTGGAACCCATCCGAAATTTGGAGAATCCCATCCAACATGTGGAGAACCCATCCAAAAAAGGGGAGAACCCATCCATCATATGGAGAACCCATCCAAAAATGGGGAGAACCCATCCAAAATGTAGAGAACCCATTCAAAATGCGGATAACCCATTCAAAATGCGGAGAACCAATCCAAAATGTGGAGAACCAATCCAAAATGCGGAGAACCCATTCAAAATGTGCAACCCATCCGAAATTTGGAGAATCCCATCCAACATGTGGAGAACCCATCCAAAAATGGGGAGAACCCATCCAAAAATGGGGAGAACCCATCCAAAATGTGGAAAACCCATCCAAAACGTGGAACCCATCCGAAATTTGGAGAATCCCATCCAACATGTGGAGAACCCATCCAAAAATGTAGAGAACCCATCCAAAAATGGGGAGAACCCATCCAAAATGCGGAGAACCAATCCAAAATGTGGAGAACCAATCCAAAAATGGGGAGAACCCATCCAAAAATGGGGAGAACCCATCCAAAATGTGGAGAACCCATCCAAAACGTGGAACCCATCCGAAATTTGGAGAATCCCATCCATCATGTGGAGAACCCATCCAAAAATGGGGAGAACCCATCCAAAATGTAGAGAACCCATTCAAAATGCGGAGAACCCATTCAAAATTCGGAAAACCCATCCAAAACGTGGAACCCATCCGAAATTTGGAGAATCCCATCCAACATGTGGAGAACCCATCCAAAAATGCGGAGAACCCATTCAACATGGGGAGAACCCATCCATGAAGTGAAGAACCCATTCAAAAATGGGGAGAACCCATTCAAAATGTGGAAAACCCATCCAAAATGTGGAAGCCATCCGAAATTTGGAGAATCCCATCCAACATGTGGAGAACCCATCCAAAAATGGGGAGAACCCATCCAAAAATTTGGAGAACCAATCCAAAATGTGGAGAACCCATCCAAAACGTGGAACCCATGCGAAATTTGGAGAATCCCATCCAACATGTGGAGAACCCATCCAAAAATGGGGAGAACCCATCCAAAAATGGGGAGAACCCATCCAAAATGTGGAAAACCCATCCAAAATGTGGAACCCATCCGAAATTTGGAGAATCCCATCCAACATGTGGAGAACCCATCCAAAAATGGGGAGAACCCATCCAAAAATGGGGAGAACCCATCCAAAAATGGGGAGAACCCATCCAAAATGTGGAAAACCCATCCAAAACGTGGAACCCATCCGAAATTTGGAGAATCCCATCCAACATGTGGAGAACCCATCCAAAAATGGGGAGAACCCATCCAAAAATGGGGAGAACCCATCCAAAATGTGGAGAACCCATCCAAAACGTGGAACCCATCCGAAATTTGGAGAATCCCATCCATCATGTGGAGAACCCATCCAAAAATGGGGAGAACCCATCCAAAATGTAGAGAACCCATTCAAAATGCGGAGAACCCATTCAAAATGCGGAAAACCCATCCAAAACGTGGAACCCATCCGAAATTTGGAGAATCCCATCCAACATGTGGAGAACCCATCCAAAAATGCGGAGAACCCATTCAAAATGGGGAGAACCCATCCATGAAGTGGAGAACCCATTCAAAAATGGGGAGAACCCATTCAAAATGTGGAAAACCCATCCAAAATGTGGAACCCATCCGAAATTTGGAGAATCCCATCCAACATGTGGAGAACCCATCCAAAAATGGGGAGAACCCATCCAAAAATTTGGAGAACCAATCCAAAATGTGGAGAACCCATCCAAAACGTGGAACCCATCCGAAATTTGGAGAATCCCATCCAACATGTGGAGAACCCATCCAAAAATGGGGAGAACCCATCCAAAAATGGGGAGAACCCATCCAAAATGTGGAAAGCCCATCCAAAATGTGGAACCCATCCGAAATTTGGAGAATCCCATCCAACATGTGGAGAACCCATCCAAAAATGGGGAGAACCCATCCAAAAATTTGGAGAACCAATCCAAAATGTGGAGAACCTGGGAAGAACCCATCCGAAACTTGGAGAATGTGGAGAATCCATCCAAAAATGGGGAGAACCCATCCAAAATGTGGAGAATCCCATCCATCATGTGGAGAACCCATCCAAAAATGGGGAGAACCCATCCAAAATGTGGAGAATCCCATCCATCATGTGGAGAACCCATCCAAAATGTGGAGAACCCATCCAAAAATGGGGAGAACCCATCCAAAATGTGGAAAACCCATCCAAAATGTGGAACCCATCCGAAATTTGGAGAATCCCATCCAACATGTGGAGAACCCATCCAAAAATGGGGAGAACCCATCCAAAAATGGAGAGAACCCATCCAAAAATGGGGAGAACCCATCCAAAATGTGGAAAACCCATCCAAAATGTGGAACCCATCCGAAATTTGGAGAATCCCATCCAACATGTGGAGAACCCATCCAAAAATGGGGAGAACCCATCCAAAAATGGAGAACCCATCCAACATGTGGAGGACCCATCCAAAATGGGGAGAACCCATCTAACATGTGGAGAACCCATCCAAAATGGGGAGAACCCATCCATCATGTGGAGAACCCATCCAAAAATGGGGAGAACCCATCCAAAATGTAGAGAACCCATTCAAAATGCGGAGAACCCATTCAAAATGCGGAGAACCAATCCAAAATGTGGAGAACCAATCCAAAATGCGGAGAACCCATTCAAAATGTGGAACCCATCCGAAACTTGGAGAATCCCATCCAACATGTGGAGAACCCATCCAAAAAGGAGAACCCATCCAAAAATGGGGAGAACCCATCCAAAATGTGGAACACCCATCCAAAACGTGGAACCCATCCGAAATTTGGAGAATCCCATCCAACATGTGGAGAACCCATCCAAAAATGGGGAGAACCCATCCAAAAATGGGGAGAACCCATCCAAAATGTGGAAAACCCATCCAAAATGTGGAACCCATCCGAAATTTGGAGAATCCCATCCAACATGTGGAGAACCCATCCAAAAATGGGGAGAACCCATCCATCATGTGGAGAACCCATCCAAAAATGGGGAGAACCCATCCAAAATGTGGAGAACCCATCCAAAACGTGGAACCCATCCGAAATTTGGAGAATCCCATCCAACATGTGGAGAACCCATCCAAAAATGGGGAGAACCCATCCAAAATGTAGAGAACCCATTCAAAATGCGGAGAACCCATTCAAAATGCGGAAAACCCATCCAAAACGTGGAACCCATCCGAAATTTGGAGAATCCCATCCAACATGTGGAGAACCCATCCAAAAATGGGGAGAACCCATCCAAAAATGGGGAGAACCCATCCAAAATGTGGAGAACCCATCCAAAACGTGGAACCCATCCGAAATTTGGAGAATCCCATCCATCATGTGGAGAACCCATCCAAAAATGGGGAGAACCCATCCAAAATGTAGAGAACCCATTCAAAATGCGGAGAACCCATTCAAAATTCGGAAAACCCATCCAAAACGTGGAACCCATCCGAAATTTGGAGAATCCCATCCAACATGTGGAGAACCCATCCAAAAATGCGGAGAACCCATTCAAAATGGGGAGAACCCATCCATGAAGTGGAGAACCCATTCAAAAATGGGGAGAACCCATTCAAAATGTGGAAAACCCATCCAAAATGTGGAACCCATCCGAAATTTGGAGAATCCCATCCAACATGTGGAGAACCCATCCAAAAATGGGGAGAACCCATCCAAAAATTTGGAGAACCAATCCAAAATGTGGAGAACCCATCCAAAACGTGGAACCCATCCGAAATTTGGAGAATCCCATCCAACATGTGGAGAACCCATCCAAAAATGGGGAGAACCCATCCAAAAATGGGGAGAACCCATCCAAAATGTGGAAAGCCCATCCAAAATGTGGAACCCATCCGAAATTTGGAGAATCCCATCCAACATGTGGAGAACCCATCCAAAAATGGGGAGAACCCATCCAAAAATTTGGAGAACCAATCCAAAATGTGGAGAACCTGGGAAGAACCCATCCGAAATTTGGAGAATGTGGAGAATCCATCCAAAAATGGGGAGAACCCATCCAAAATGTGGAGAATCCCATCCATCATGTGGAGAACCCATCCAAAAATGGGGAGAACCCATCCAAAATGTGGAGAATCCCATCCATCATGTGGAGAACCCATCCAAAATGTGGAGAACCCATCCAAAATGTGGAGAACCCATCCAAAAATGTGGAGAACCCATCCAAAATGTGGAAAACCCATCCAAAATGTGGAACCCATCCGAAATATTGAGAATCCCATCCAACATGTGGAGAACCCATCCAAAAATGGGGAGAACCCATCCAAAAATGGAGAGAACCCATCCAAAAATGGGGAGAACCCATCCAAAATGTGGAAAACCCATCCAAAATGTGGAACCCATCCGAAATTTGGAGAATCCCATCCAACATGTGGAGAACCCATCCAAAAATGGGGAGAACCCATCCAAAAATGGAGAGAACCCATCCATCATGTGGAGAACCCATCCAACATGTGGAGGACCCATCCAAAATGGGGAGAACCCATCTAACATGTGGAGAACCCATCCAAAATGGGGAGAACCCATCCATCATGTGGAGAACCCATCCAAAAATGGGGAGAACCCATCCAAAATGTAGAGAACCCATTCAAAATGCGGAGAACCCATTCAAAATGCGGAGAACCAATCCAAAATGTGGAGAACCAATCCAAAATGCGGAGAACCCATTCAAAATGTGGAACCCATCCGAAACTTGGAGAATCCCATCCAACATGTGGAGAACCCATCCAAAAAGGAGAACCCATCCAAAAATGGGGAGAACCCATCCAAAATGTGGAACACCCATCCAAAACGTGGAACCCATCCGAAATTTGGAGAATCCCATCCAACATGTGGAGAACCCATCCAAAAATGGGGAGAACCCATCCAAAAATGGGGAGAACCCATCCAAAATGTGGAAAACCCATCCAAAATGTGGAACCCATCCGAAATTTGGAGAATCCCGTCCAACATGTGGAGAACCCATCCAAAAATGGGGAGAACCCATCCATCATGTGGAGAACCCATCCAAAAATGGGGAGAACCCATCCAAAATGTAGAGAACCCATTCAAAATGCGGAGAACCCATTCAAAATGCGGAGAACCAATCCAAAATGTGGAGAACCAATCCAAAATGCGGAGAACCCATTCAAAATGTGGAACCCATCCGAAATTTGGAGAATCCCATCGGAATCCAACATGTGGAGAACCCATCCAAAAATGGGGAGAACCCATCCAAAAATGGGGAGAACCCATCCAAAATGTGGAAAACCCATCCAAAACGTGGAACCCATCCGAAATTTGGAGAATCCCATCCAACATGTGGAGAACCCATCCAAAAATGGGGAGAACCCATCCAAAAATGGGGAGAACCCATCCAAAATGTGGAAAACCCATCCAAAACGTGGAACCCATCCGAAATTTGGAGAATCCCATCCAACATGTGGAGAACCCATCCAAAAATGGGGAGAACCAATCCAAAAATTTGGAGAACCAATCCAAAATGTGGAGAAACCATCCAAAACGTGGAACCCATCCGAAATTTGGAGAATCCCATCCAACATGTGGAGAACCCATCCAAAAATGGGGAGAACCCATCCAAAAATGGGGAGAACCCATCCAAAATGTGGAAAACCCATCCAAAATGTGGAACCCATCCGAAATTTGGAGAATCCCATCCAACATGTGGAGAACCCATCCAAAAATGGGGAGAACCCATCCAAAAACTTGGAGAACCAATCCAAAATGTGGAGAACCAATCCAACATGTGGAGAACCCATCCAAAAATGGGGAGAACCCATCCAAAATGTGGAGAATCCCATCCATCATGTGGAGAACCCATCCAAAAATGGGGAGAACCCATCCAAAATGTGGAGAACCCATCCAAAATTGGGGAGAACCCATCCAAAATGTGGAAAACCCATCCAAAATGTGGAACCCATCCGAAATTTGGAGAATCCCATCCAACATGTGGAGAACCCATCCAAAAATGGGGAGAACCCATCCAAAAATGGGGAGAACCCATCCAAAATGTGGAGAACCCATCCAAAATGCGGAGAACCCATTCAAAATGTGGAACCCATCCGAAATTTAGAGAATCCCATCCAACATGTGGAGAACCCATCCAAAAATGGGGAGAACCCATCCAAAATGTGGAAAACCCATCCAAAATGTGGAACCCATCCGAAATTTGGAGAATCCCATCCAACATGTGGAGAACCCATCCAAAAATGGGGAGAACCCATCCAAAAATTTGGAGAACCAATCCAAAATGTGGAGAACCAATCCAACATGGGAAGAACCCATCCGAAATTTGGAGAATCCCATCCAACATGTGGAGAACCCATCCAAAAATGGGGAGAACCCATCCAAAAATTTGGAGAACCAATCCAACATGTGCAAAAATGGGGAGAACCCATCCAAAAACTTGGAGAACCAATCCAAAATGTGGAGAACCAATCCAACATGTGGAGATCCCATCCAAAAATTGGGAGAACCCATCCAAAATGTGGAGAATCCCATCCATCATGTGGAGAACCCATCCAAAATGTGGAGAACCCATCCAAAATGTGGAGAATCCCATCCAACATGTGGAAAACCCATGAAGTTCTCCACTTCAAGGCCCTTTTGGCCTCTTGGCTCCCGGCCACGACCGATGAGCTGGACGACGATGAGCTGCTGCTGAGCCGGGAGCCGGGCCGGAGGGGGAAAAGAAAGCGACCGTCCACGTGGATCCGCAGCAAATGAAACGTGAATCCACGTGGTTCCCCATTTGGAATACCAGGTTCCCTATCTGCAAGTCCCAGTCCTTGTAGTTGCAACCTCCATAAGTTAGGGGATATCATCATGCAGTCTAGAGGAAAAAATGATTGGTTACACTACCCAGTTTATGAGCCGGCACCAGGTTACCACGTTACCAGTTGAACCCGATTTGGATTGTGGAATACAACCACCTGCCAAATGCTGCCCCCAGTGTTTTCTGAACTTACCAGGGAGTAGAACTAGTTGAAGGATTTCTTGATGGGGAAGGTTAACCCACCTACCTAATGCGATGTGGAATTGGTCCATCCACAGTAGTAGAAAAGAGGCAACTGGTACTGGATCTCTTCAATACAAATAACGTGAACATGTCGAGTTTTCATATACCAAAGTGGGCAATCCCAAAAACATGTCGCTTTCAAGGGGATTTCCTTAGTGTCACAAAAAGAAAGTGGCAGCCTAAACCCAATTCGAAACAAAGTCTTCTATTTTGATGAGTTGCAATCATGAAGGTCATGTGCTGAGGAAAGATGAGACCAAGGGGCGGAAAGAAGAGCTTGGCCCAACCTGCCCCAAGATCGCCCAGACACTGCCTCCTGGGCTTCTTGGCCGGCACCGGCACCTCTCTCGCCTGGAGAGAGAGAGAGAGAGAGAGCAACAAACGGGCCGTGGCTTCCTGGGGGTCAAGGGCAAGCAAGAGGACAAGAAAGCAAGCAAGCAAGCAAGCAAGCAAGCAAGCAAGAAAGAAAGAAAGAAAGAAAGAAAGAGACCTACTTGTATGTTCAAGCTACTTACCCACAGTTGCCGGGGGTTATAACCCCGTTTTTCACTCGCCCTTATCCATATTGAATATTCCATCCCAGGCTGCCCAACGATCGAAGCCATTCGGAGGAGCGTGGCCTGTGGCTTGAAATCGATGGCTCAAACGCACCCACGGGGGAAGATCGTGTGGGCAGCGAGGAGTAGAATCCGCCCATAGGTGGCCTGTTGCAAAATAGATGGCCCTGGTAAACCATCTAAACCAGTGCCATCTATTAAGCCAAACTGACCTGAAAAGGACACCTATGAATCCGCCATCAACTCTTAGCCCTTGGCTGACCTTAAGAAGGACCGGTGCACTTTCCGGGGTCGCATCAAAGAAATCTGGCAAAGGGGGGGTTCGGAAACCAAATGCCAAACCGCCTTTTTGGGTCTCACTGATCGATGGATGTGCAACTCGGCAGGTAAACGATTGCAAGGAGCGATCAAAAAATCAACCCTGGCTGACAAACACCTGGCGGCCCCATTGTCAATACAGTCCAGACAACTCGTAATGTTTCACCGGCCACTGAGAATGAGACTTGGAACTGCCCGAAACCCGCAGCTTGGATGAAACGGCATGTACATGAGTGGCTCGTTTGTTGTTCAAGTTACTTCCCCGATTTCTGAACCCACCATGGGTCAAGACTCCTTGGCTCGAGGTCACCAGAACCATTCCGGGGAGTCCCCACAATGTGTCCATTTCAAGCAGAAAGGTGTGCCGACCCATGTTCCTTCTGGGAACCCCCTATCATTGGTCTTCAGTTCCTTCTTGGTTTCCCCGTCAAACAGCCTCTAAAGGGTACGCTATGAGGGCTTCTGGCAATTAAACCCGACAGGAAACTAACCACCTTTGAATGTGTGTTTCGTACAATTCGAGGCCCACAAAGACTTGGTTGGCTTCTTTTGCCCCCCTTCAAAACCATTCCAACAAATGCTCCTCTAGCTTTTAGACGGGCCTATATGCGCAACCTGCACACATCACCACCCACAAAGGGAATGCAATAGCCAATGGCCAAGAAGGTTCTGCTTTGGTTGGCCAAAACGAAATTGGAACTGCATGTGTATGTGCATATATACAGAGATCGCAAATACTCATGAGCAATCGCGAACGCAAGTGCGTTTTTAAAGCTTCGTAAAGCCTTCAACGTTGATGTGACGCCGATGTATGACCTCGATGAATGAGCTTGTGTATTATATATGTATACACGAATGTGTTTCCTGTGTATGTACATATATATATATAAATATGTGCCAATGTTGCTCAAACTTGAAAGTATGCGGTGTCCTCTTGGGTTCTCTTAAACATAGCCATGAAACAGGGCATTTCAACCGTGAGCCACTAAAATCAGGGGCATTTTTGTTGCGGGGTGGCAACATCTCTTTGCACGTCGTGGTATCTTAGGTTTTCTGAAAACGTCCCCCAGAATTGCGGAGTCCTTTTGGTCTTGCGAAAAGGTCAAGTCTTAAATGGCCAAACTGCATCTGTTTCAAGAGGCCCGGGTCGTTGTTGTTGAGACACCCGGGCGATGATCGCGCACGCAAGTAAGCAACCAAGAGACTGATCCAGGAGTTGGGAGGGCAGTTCATTCTTAGCCAGCCTCAAAAGTGGTCTGCGTTGCTGATTTTGCCACCCAAAATTCTTGCCAAACGCAACCCGTGCGTCCTCGGATTCAGAGGACTTTCTGAGAAGAAGGCGCCTTGGTAAGCTGCAACTATGGTGGGGCTGTCCGTTCCCCCTACACTCATCAGCAAATTGCTTTTCGGCAGGGCTGGTTTCATTTGTAGTTTGAAGCTTGAATCCAGCACCATCCCACCGCACCCTTGCTTATACTGGGCCATTCTGATCAGGGGTGCCCTCGAAACAACAGACACACGGTGACACACTGATGCTTGCTTGCCACGGCGATGCCTGTGCACACCGCTACTAGCGGACTGTACCGTGTAACTCGCTGATTATGCAGCGACAAAGCGAGCAGTGGCCACCATCCGCATGGCTGACAATGAAACTCCCAATTTGAGGACCATCCCAGAACCTTCCAACATTGGGGCCATGAATCTGGCACCACATTCTATGCTCTACAGCGGGATGGTGGGCACTGCTCACGGGCTTAAAATTCGCAGCTGTACAGTGCCGGGAAGAAGCTGCGAACGGACGCAACTGGCACGGACCAAAAACCTGCGAATGAACTGCTTGTCCTTGCCGGCGATCCTCACTCGCTGGACATGTACGAGGAGCTGTCAATACAGCAAAACACGTATCTGCGGGTGTCCACACTGGCAAGCGTAGCCCCACAATCATCATGTGGAAATGTCGAGCCCCAGTGAAATCCACCATCATCAGCACTGTCATACACCTTGAATGGAAACCGTCCGCCGCACCTCCTGTGGCAGACTCCACACGCACCCTTCTTGAGCATACGCACCATTCTCCGCGAGTCGCTTTTCTCGGCGCTTTTCACCTGCTGCACCACCCTCTCCAATTGCGACACGCGATCTTCCAAGGAGACCGCGATGGAGGTCCCGAGCCTGCCCACGTTCGTCCAAGAAACAAATTATTCTCGGCCAGTAGCATGAGCCACACCACTCGCTCCCTAACACCCAGCACACCTAGAGCATGACATTAATTTTGTGGGGGAAGGTTGTGATTACATGTCCAATTGACAGAAGATCCCAAAAACAGCTGCATGGAGACCAACTAGGCCAAACCAGAACCTGCGAATTTGGAGCGCAAAATAAGATCTTTCTTTGAGCTGCTGTGGAACCCGCTTTTTTCGGGGTAAGACATGACAGCTTTTTGACAGAGGCACGGCCTCTCAGGCAGCGCAGCTTGAAAAGGCCCGCGATCCGTGGCCACCGAGATATGCGCGGCGGCCGTTGCGTTCGGCGGGCGGGAGCAGTGGACGGAATACCTCGGGCGCTGGGTGAACCTTCAGAACATGCTGCACGGCTGCCCCAGACGAAAGATATTCGTGCGTCTTAATATCCTGACCCCTTAAAATTGGCGGCTTTCGCGTTGGTTTCCCTTTGAAGTCACCCAAAAAGGATAAACAAAAGAAAACTCAGACACCCATGTGCCTCAGTGAACTGTAAAGATTCACCGGTCTACAAGAAATGTGGACCCAGGGAAGAAACCTTTTTGGGCCTTCCGCTTCAAGCCCCGCTCCCGACAATGGCTATTGAAGCTTGAATAAAATCAAACTCCTGTCTCGGAGCTTCACGAGCCAACAGCAACCTCTCACTTGCATCAGCGCAAATCAACTGGGGGTTGAATAGGGGTCTGGAAGAAGAAGAGGCGCACATCCCTTTCAATTTTTTTCTAGGAAATGAAGTAGTCAATAACTCGCCAACCCGAAATAAGTCATGATCAAAACCCGGTAGTAAACTGGTCTACCCAGAACCATGTAAAGAATTAAGAAGGCGGCCGGAGCTATTTCTGGCTGAGACTGTCCCTTACTAACCTTCATCTACCCGGGCTTTGATTGCGGCTGGCGATAGCGATGCTGTCTGTCATCCAGGTCTTTGCCCGGGTATCATGGCTCAAACCCCACGCGAGACAAAAGGAGAATGAGAAGGTCGATCTAGGCATTCAACTCCGCAATCCTTGCAGAGCAGGATGCAGGAGTAATCAAGTCTGAAATAGATACCTTGCAATGAGGCATACGCTGATACCGGCCCAAGCGCGTCCATGGTAAGGTAAAGCCGCATAAAGTGCACTGTGGCTCTTCAGGAACCCAGGCCGAATCAAAGGAGTGGCACATCCCAGGAGCGCCCCCGAGGCGGTTGACCCAGCCGACCATCAGACGCCGCCTCCGCCCAATGCAGAAGCGGAGCCGGCGGACGCAAGAATTGCCAAGAGCGTCCCTAACCTGCTCAGAGTCCAGCTCCCCCAAGAACGAAAGAGGGACCTTCTCAAGGAGAAACTCTTTCAAGAGAACCTTGCAGGCGGAAATACGCTCTTGTGCCGAAGTCAAAGCATCAAAGTCAATGCACGTGCGATCTGGAGCCTGATTCAAGCCAGGCAACGCAGGACCAGTTTTCTTATCATTCAGACGGCGACGTACCACCAGCGAGGCGAAATCCGGCGAATGCCTCCAACAAGTAATAGACGTCCCAATCTGTTCCATAGTGATGTACAGCTTTCGAAGCGGTTTGCCCAACATCAAGTATTCCTCATTCAAATTCACGAGAACCTTTAGCCCAATGTTAATGCCATCATGAAGCAGCCCCAAGGGCAATGGTGGCAGCGGAGGCACTGACAAAGCTCCTGCATATCCGGCACTTCAGCATCAATTGGTATACCTTGCATTTTAAGAATACCCATACACAACATGCGAATTTTCCACTGGGCCTCGCGTACAGTCTTGATCTTACGCAGAAAGGGCGCTTTGTCCCCAACAATAAAGATAAAGAGCAGCAAGGCTTCAATCCAAGTATGCCTTCTCGGAAGGACTTCGGCTTTGCTTTTGTCAAAGATGCACCAGTCCAGCATACCTCAAAGAAGATGAAAGTCTTCAATGTAGCCGCCCCAATACCATAAATTGGCTCTAACAGCCATCAACTCAGGATCAATGGTCAAAAACTGTCCCCTCAAGAAGACAAAGTGACTTTGAAAGGGAGAGTCAAGGAGTTACATTGTTCCAACTCCGAGGCCATCTTGCGACGGAAAGCTTGACAAAGAGCTTTGCCCATCACTTTGCAATCGCTACTGCCAAAAGTCCAGAGCAACCTACCGTCCTCATCGCTGACCTGTATATTGTCAATATTCAAATGAACTGCAAATGCTCCATGTCCTTTTTCAGTTGCGAAACGGGGCCAATTTTTCTAAAAGAG